TTTTTTTAAGTAACTTGTTATATCAGTAGTGAAAGAAAATATATGTTTTCCATATACTTATTAAAATGATTTTACATGTTTCTATGAATTTTTAACTCATAAAATATTTAATGATTTGAATTTTCTCTATAATTATTCTTTAATTCAATCTGTACGTTTCTCGTCAGCATTTTCACTCATGTCAGCATATTCGTTCCTGTCAGCATTTTCGTTCATGTCAGCATTTTCGTTCTTGGCAGCATTATCGTTCTTGTCAACATTTTCATTTTTGTCAGCATTTTCGTTCATGTCAGCATTTTCGTTTATGTCAACATTTTCGTTCTTGTCAGCATTTTCGTTCATGTCAGCATTTTCGTTTATGTCAACATTTTCGTTCTTGTCAGCATTTTCGTACATGTCAGCATTTTCGTTTATATCAACATTTTCGTTCTTGTCTCGTAAGCCGTTCACAATATTTCTTATGACTATTATCTTTAAGCCATGTCCCGAGTTTACTTGCATGTACGCAAATAAATTGTACTTTAATTGATCGTGTACGTTGAACGTCAAAACCACGCTTGAATTTTTCGTCTGTTCTTGACGGCAAAATTGAATAATTTTAGCGTACGGGTCATGGCAGTAAATCGAAGTGAGTGACAGTTCGCTAGACCACACCACTGCCTCTCTAATCTATGGATAGATAGAACCTACGGCCACACGTAAATTATTGAGACGTGCCGGAGAGATGGCAACGCCGAAACTAAAGTGTCTGAAGCCATGAATATGTAATATCAACACAGAATATGTGTGAGCAGCTTTACATACTCACTTGACTAACCGCGCTCTAACTCAACGCTCGCATTGATTTTAATTTACATTTTAAGTTGCTATTTAAATTTGGCCCTTGAGTTGTGCTGACGTGAAGCGCAGTTTACGAGCCCCTGAAATGTGCCATGTTTACGGTAATTTTATTCTCGAGCGTCTCTTGAACTTCTCCGGAGGTGAGGAAAACTCAATGCAGACGTTCAGCGGAATTGCGGCAAGCCACGAGAAAATTTCGGTGCCTTGTTAGCGATTTCGAGCCGCATTTACTGGAAAAATTCTAGGTACTTAATGCACTCACGAAAAAAAATTCTAACTACTTAATGCACTTAAGAAAAATTTTAGCTACTTCATGTACTTTTTCTTGCATTTATAGACTCATTAGAGGAAATTAATCTATTGAGTCTTTTCATTCTTGGATTAGCTTTGTTGAATAGAATTGAAATCAATTAATTTCTGGTAGTAATTTATTCCTTAGTCACTTTTCCGTAGGCACCAACAACTTAAAAATATTTTATTTTTATTTCATGAAAATAATTACGCTGAACTTTTGATCATGAATGATCGTTCCACGACCAAGAAGCTCTCTCATATTTCTTATATAAATTACAAGCTCTTGAGTACGATTATTCGCAGACATCTTCACCAACTGCGCGATGCATTCAGCAGCAGTAGCGTCCTCAAGCTTATCTCTGTATCTTAAGAGCCTGATGCATTGCATTCACTCAGACAAATAAGTGAGACTTCATCCGAATATTCATGCACTTATTACCCTTGTGTTGATCATCCTGACCCGATTTCGCCCGGCAGTAGTGTGTAGCAGAGCTGTGTCCGCTTCCTACTTGATGTTTGGGTAAGGAAATGTGTCACTTTTTATCCAAAAAAATCCTACTCATTTCTTGCCTGTACTTCTTGATAGCGCGCAGTTCAGCCGTAAAAAACTGATGCAATCTTGATCGTATTGACATCGATGACGTAAATGGATTGACGGTGAACATGCCAGCATGTCAAGTTTCTCAAGGATGTGACGTGATCTTATCTCATAAGGATGTATACATGTGTACAATCACGTGACGTCATTAATGTAAGTAGATTAGATATTATTTGCCTTCGATCGAACATTTACATTTCATTTTTCTTTTGCAACTTGAATATTAGAAAAGAAACTCTTCGACACCAATCATTTTTCAAGCATGACATTCATTTTTACGAGAAATTATAAATTTTGGTGTTAATACCGTGATAAACTATTCCGAAAAAAATCTGCCAAAGGCTATGTTATTTTATAAAATGAAAATATGTCTGTGAAATTTTCCGGTGCAGAATTCGTTCTTCTAATTCTTTCGGTTTACTGGTCAATGATATTTTTATTTGTGCATTCAAAATTGTGTCGTAAATCAAAATAAAGAACTTGAACCTTAATTGCGAAGAATTTAATTATCGAAAATATTGAAACGGAAAACGTAACCTTTGCCAGTAGAGTAGGTTTCTTGAAAACTTTCTTCAAGTCCTTCGAAGCTGCAACAAAACTTCGTGTCCTGAGATAAACAAGTCTAAATGTCAATAAAATTTCAGTGATAATGCATCTGGTCATCATTCGCGCAGAGGCTATCTTTACACGTCCATTCTAACACGTCACCTTCACACGCACGGCGCGTGTGAAGGGGTTGTTCGAGACACGGCGCGTGTGAAGGGGTTGTTTGAGACACGGCGCGTGTGAAGGGGTTGTTCGAGACACGGCGCGTGTGAAGGGGTTGTTCGAGACAGCCTCCGTCAATAGGCCGGCCAAATGTTACATGCATTCTTGAGCAGCATAGGCCGTGCGTATCATATACGAAATTCAATTTAAATTCATTCCTAATAAGCTCGTTGTTATTTGATGGGAATCTCATCCATGGCTACATGAATAATTTTGATTGATATTATCTGATTGAATATCTAAGCATCGCATGATGAAGACTGACTTTTCGACTAGAGACTACATTATTATTCAATTATTTAGTATATCTTATATTTTATCGAATTTTATTCCATCCATTTCAAATTTTATGAATTGTTTGTTTTTTTCGCATAGTATATAAACATAGCATATGGCGAGGTTTGAGATCTTTCAAGTTCATTTAGGCAACATTTTTAGTTGCTTTTTAATGTCTTGTAATTAAAACATGGCAGGATAAAGGTCGCCATGTCTATGTTTTTCTCCATGCGTCGGTTGACGCTAAATAGGCTCCATTTTCTATGTACATTCAACAAAAGCAATCACCACGAATGTCATTGCCGTTGACATATCGCGTTGACATTTGCAGCGGTCGCCATCTTGTCATTCACGACAATAGGTTGTAATTTGCTCGGTATATTTTTCAGGTATAAGATAATAAGTTCGTTGATTGGCCTAATGAAATTATTTATATACGCTCATATAACTTCATATTAGAGATTTCGTTTGTGTTGAACATTTACATTACCAAGATGCAATCTTTCAATGACTTCAAAGTTTAATAATTTTATATTATCCGTTTGAAATATCTTGACCTTGATTACTTGCTTTTCAAGTTTTTGTTCGTTATTGAATTTTCTTTCTGTCAACTTATAGCGATATTATCTCACTATATAGTTATTCTCAAAATAATATCCATCGTCTATTATTAATTGTGGCCTTATTGTTAATATTATTATTATTTTCTACTTCTTTGCCTATTTTCGTTCTTGTTTCTCTACTTTAAAGTGTAAGCATTGGCTAATTTGCATATACTAATTGGCTAATATGCATATACCAATATACCATATTACCTAGTACTTACTGAAAATAATCCTATTTAATTTCAATGCGCAGTTTATGTGTTGATAATCGAGTTTAATTGCCCGATTATTGATAATGAATTTAAATCTCCATGTGATGATCTTATTATCGCCGTAATAGTTTAATTATAATATAAAATGAGTGCAGTCCAAAACAAAATATGACCACTTCTATTATTGACTTAGCTGAAATTAAACTATTTTAGATCTGCAAATAACATTGCAACAATGAAGCTCGAAATGCCCAAAGCCGAAATTAAACTACTTTCTATTTGCAAATAACATTGTAACAATGAAGCTCAAGGACCGTGAAGCCGTGCTTCATTGTAGTGAGTGAAGCAGTGACATGTTATGGCTGCGGCAACTGAACTAACTAATGAAGCGACGAGCGATCGCTTCTCTCGCACCGGTCAGCGCCAGACGCTGCGACCGCTGACCACTGCGATCGATATGGAGCAGCGGCGTATACTGTGCGTATACTGTGCGTATACTGGTGTGCGTATACTGGTGTGCGTATACTGTTGTGCGTATACTGCTGTGCGTATACTGCTGTGCGTATACTGTCGTGCGTATACTGTCGTGCGTATACTGTCGTGCGTATACTATCGTGCGTATACTGTCGTGCGTATACTGTCGTGCGTATACTGTCGTGCGTATACTGCCGTGCGTATACTGTCGTGCGTATACTGTCGTGCGTATACTGTCTTGCGTATACTGTCATGCGTATACAGCCGTGCGTATACTGCTGTGCGTATACTGTCGTGCGTATACTGCTGTGCGTATACTGCTGTGCGTATACTGTCTTGCGTATACTGTCATGCGCATACTGCTGTGCGTATACTGCTGTGCGTATACTGTCGTGCGTATACTGCTGTGCGTATACTGCTGTGCGTATACTGCTNACTACGCATGCTGCCGTGCGTATGATGACGCCACTACGCATGCTGCCGTGCGTATGATGACGCCACTACGCATGCTGCCGTGCGTATGATGACGCCACTACGCATGCTGCCGTGCGTATGGTGACGCCGCTACGCATGCTGCCGTGAATCCATTGCTCCAGTTGCTGTGCTCCCAACGCGGCTCTATTGTTTCCGAAATGTATTTTGCAGCTGTTTTCTTTCATGATGACATATTGTACATTTTTTTAGTGCTGTCATTCATTTTTGAGACAAAAATATTGAACAATAACAATTATCTTCTTAACCAAATGACTATAATTATCAATTGAATAACCCTATTACACAAATTATTACTTTGATATAGCAAAAATGATCACGTAATTCTTTTTATTTTGCAAATTGTTGAAGTATAAGCGAGGCTGTTGATGTTTGCCCCGCGGTTCGTTTAGAATAACATGAACTTCGCGCCGCTCTTCTGGACGCCGGCCAAGCTTTGTGTTACAGCGTCGCACCGTGCGTCGTGGTCGTGATGTGGTGAGCGTATGTGTGGTGAGCGTATGTGTCGTGAGCGTATGTGTGGTGAGCGTATGTGTGGTGAGCGTATGTGTCGTGAGCGTATGTGTGGTGAGCGTATGTTTCGTGAGCGTATGTGTGGTGAGCGTATGTGTGGTGAGCGTGGTGAGCGTATGTGTCGTGAGCGTATGTGTGGTGAGCGTATGTGTGGTGAGCGTATGTGTGGTGAGCGTATGTGTGGTGAGCGTATGTTTCGTGAGCGTATGTGTGGTGAGCGTATGTGTGGTGAGCGTATGTGCGGTGAGCGTATGTGTTGTGAGCGTATGTGTGGTGAGCGTATGTGTGGTGAGCGTATGTGTAAGTGTGGTGAGCATATGTGTGGTGAGCGTATGTGTCGTGAGCGTATGTGTCGTGAGCGTATGTGTCGTGAGCGTATGTGTCGTGAGCGTATGTGTTGTGAGCGTATGTGTCGTGAGCGTATGTGTGGTGAGCGTATGTGTGGTGAGCGTATGTGTGGTGAGCGTACGTGTCGTGAGCGTATGTGTGGTGAGCGTATGTACCGTGAGCGTATGTGTCGTGAGCATGCAGAATACGTTCATGCTGTAGTGAGCGCATGTGTTGTGTTAAATAATTATCAACTCTATTTTAAAATCTTCTTTATTCTTTATCAGATTGACGGCCAAAAATTTGACGTGATTTTCTCAATTTTAACGGCAAAAATGGTCTGACTTAAATATTTTTATCGCCATAAAAATTAGATTATTTTAATTCAGTTTAGGCTCGACGTGGTATGCCTCGTATTGTTATAATACGGAAATTTATAAAAAAAACTGTAAATTAATAAATAATCTATGAAAAACTTATGTGAAATGCTTGAAAATAAACGAAAAAATATACGGTAAATTTTCAATAACAAATATCCATTGAGCTGCGAAAAATTTACAACGATAGCTGCTCTTACAAGCTATTTTACTATGACGATGACATAAATTAAATGAAACCAGGATAGACTTCAAACAAATGAAGACATTAACTGACGTATTATTAATATAAAGTGACATGCATTGATGATATGTTATTCAGAAAATAGGATGTTAAAAAATTAAAGAAAAACTTACGGCAGTTAGAATATTCCTTGCTTCATCGGTAAGTAATAGATAAAGATAATCTCTTTTCTTAGCTCGGCTCACAATTCAATAACAATTATGAGTCTTTTGTGAATCAATCTTCCTTGATCAGTGGCTCGAAATAATTACCGATTCTCCAAGGGAAGGAAATTAAAATGGGACTTCCTTTGATGGCTTCAATTGGCGCTCATCTCGCTAAGTTGCTCGGCATTTCTTCAGACTTACTTGCGCCCCCTCTTCTCAAGAAACGCCCCCCTTTTCCCTCCTTTATAGTCGCATCGATCCACGCCGCGCAGCCCCCCGTCCTTTCTTCATTTCGTTCAAAAAAAGACCCCCCGAAAAAGGACATCCCAAAAATACCAGAGATACCGCACACCGCTCTCGCAAGTCGTCATTTCAGACGCTTTTCCCTGTTTATTGGATTTCAATTGGAATCGAATCTCACTGTTGCATATCATGGCTATGTAATGTACATGATGTTGTTTATTGAACATCTACGGAGAGGCGAGTCGTAGTGGAACGACTTATGCGACGGCCAGAAGTTGATTATCTCTGGACGCTTGCCAACTGCCGATGTATTCAAATTGCGCATGAATATTCGAATATTCGCCCCCCACCAGACCCTTTTCATCAAAGTTTGAAGCACTACCATTGGTCGGGCGCCGAACCCCTGCCTGGACCAATGAGAGAGCGCCGAGGGAATGCCTCCAAGGAAGGCCCTCTCGTCAGACTGTTTTTTTTTATTTCAGTCTTGATTTAAATATAGTTCCCCTTTATGCGAGAACCATTCCTAGTCTCACTTCCACCATGAACGCTGATGTTGAACGCATTGTGCATCATAGACATAAATATATGCTATGCACGATAAACTTTCTCATGTAACAAATTCTCTACTTAAACGAGAAGCTGTGACGTCATTTGCGTGGATAGAAAGCGGGACTTTAAAGAGCAGATTTGAATGGACGCAACACGCTTGCGCGCAGCCGTTATGCTAAGCAGCCAATGCGCTCGCGCTCGCCTCGCCCGCGGCTTCCCATTCTTCCTGATGACACCGACGGCTTCATGGCATTTATCATAACACAGCCATGGTCGCAATGAGCCTCGGCGCTGATTTTTGGTGCACAGCGCGCGAGTTTAGCAAGTTTACAGAGGCAGGTGCGTGGTCGTAAGAAACGCATTAGGCACTGGGAACGTCGCCCGCTCGCTGTCTGCTCGCGTACATATTGATCGAGCAAAAGAGAGAGAGGGAGAGGGAAATGTAAGGGTAGATGCCTTTAGAACTTCGAGCAAAGCTAGCCGCTTGTCTTGTGTCCGTGTTTAGGGAATAGATACGTTATACTTATTGACGTCTGGATATGACATGTTGCCGCCGTAGCTGTACCATATGTGGACTATATGCTGTATAGGGCACGATGTTTCAACATTCTCTTGATCACAGAAAATTATAAATTTTATGTTTTCGGAAATTTAGTTTTTTACATTATTGTTTTTTACATTATTGTTACGTTTAAAACATAAAAGTACGGTATCTCGACTTATTTACAGGATCATTATGCATGCTTCAAAAAGGCCAGCATGATAGCTTTGTTCAAAGTATAACAATATATTAGCATGTTATTAAAACTGCGATGCCGTTCACCATAACTTTATGCCAGGTCATGCGCGCCGTACGCTCCTCATGTTCATTCATGACGCGCTTGTTCACATCGCCATGCTCGTACTTCAAAGGAACGTCGGCATACACAATACACTTGGTAAATATTGCTGAATATTTTCTTATAGGAATATATATATAAATAAAATCCTTTCGGATATTAAATTACATTGATGTCCAAAATTTTATTATTTCCAAAAAAGTGAAATTAATCTCCCTCGTACGATGATCGTTAAACTTAATACCATGTATACTCTTAACCAGACTACCGCAATGTTTTTGCAATCGACCTGGCCGCCATCTTGGGCTTATAATTTGCATGCCACGCCTCATGCATACAAACTCGTCATGCTTGAGCGCCGCCGTTGCGACGCCTTCTTTATGGCGAAGAATAAAGGCGTCGCCTTTATTCTTCGTTGCGACGCCTGACTTCATCCACATGCAGCCATTAATTATATCCTACTTTTCGGTCAACTTGTCGGACAAACCACTAGTGCCACCGATTTGACTTCCTTAAGTGTACATAAATTAAGAAATGGTGATTACATCTAATATTATAATAATCATCAGTGATAATTATTCCATTTATCACTTTAATTATTGAGTTCATTGGTTAATTATCCTTCCTAATGTGGGTCTCAAAACTTGAAGTTGATAGGAAATATAGCATAGCAAACCCTCAGGATGAGTAAATTGTATATATTATACTCAACATCATTATATATATTACTACATCAGTTCATCGCGATAACATGAATAATTATAATAATTGCCTTAATTTATCCCAATGTTGCAATTTTTGGTATGTTAGCCCAGCAATTGCGAAATAGAACGATGTTGGCAAATAAAATTTAGGTAAACGATGCTAAAACGATCTAGGTGCAAAAAGTTAATAATTATTTGTGAATTTTTACCTTCGAAATGCGTTAGAATTTCTTATTTGTTCATGGAATTGAATGTGGGAAAAATAGGCATAAGTATTTGCATGAATTTTTCTCCGCGCGAATATATCGAGGAAATTAAAATAAAATTACAAAATTCCTTACAATTGAGTCGACCTCATATATGCGAGTATATGGCGCAAGATAAAGACTAAGAATTAAAATCTCAATAATTTTAATAATTATTGCAGGACTTACTCATGATCACCTTAACTCACCTAGCTTTCTCGACAAACATTAATTATGAACGTATAGTCATTGACACTCGATGAACGACTCATGCAGGAAGCAAGGTCATGTGAACGAGAACAATATTCATGCACTCACTACATGTCTACATGAAGTTATTCAAGCATTCACGTCTGCAGTCAGAAAATATGTTGCAACATTGGATCGGGGAAATCTTTCAAAATATGTTGCAACATTCTGCATTTGTCTGGTATTTTTTTCTGGAATATATGCACGCATATACACATCTTATGAAGGAAACTATGTTGCTAAGTCCTATCTAGGTTCTATCAGCCGCCAACGATCTTTTCATGATGCGGCCAGTAACACTGAAATGCATATATATAACAATTGACCAGAATTAGGACTGTTCAACTATAGAACCTCATAAACCCGTATATTTCATGTCTAAAAATCATGCGGAATGTTCAATTTCAACTTGGTTTTTTTCAGCGCGTAGTTCATGGAACATAACCTGAAATATTTTAATATTTTTATAAAAAATTACTCATCTCATCGCATAAATGAATATTGCATTTTGATTAGTCGATACAATTTTGTAATGCAGTCCTATGGTTTTGCGTGTATTCGAATAAGAAATTACCAAAGCAATGACCGCAATCATTCGATTACAAGTTTTGATATTCATACAACTCACCTTTAGACAATGGACAAGTAAACTAAGCGTTCCAGACCGATTATTCCTAATAATCATGCAATTTACCACAATAGACTCTGCAGAAGTAACGATTTGCTATCAGTTACATCGCTAAAATTAATGGGCATTTGGTTAACTCTCTTTGCACTGCCGGCTTTCAACCTCTAATATCAGTGACTGCAAATTTTTTTTCATTATACATACACGAAATCTGCGGCTCATGCAGTACATAGTCTCAACATTTATATTTTGTTGGATCTTTTATTTGCAAATATCGCAGAATTATTGATACATTATTGAAGTTTGATACTTTTCTTCTCATTTACAATTAATTTTCGTTTCAGTTTTTTTTAATAGAGTGCATCATTAGCCGCACAGAGCAGCTTAAGTGCAGCCATGCGTGGTCGGGGCCCAAATGCATCTGTTCCGAAGGTGCTTAATTTAATTGGACCTTTCCCAAAAATTGTCGCTTCTCAAAGGCACCGAATTTCTCCCCTTGAAAAGCCCTGATGGAGCTTTAATAGAATAAACTGAGCTGCAGTTACGCCTAACGACGTCCGTTCCTTGACTTCCTCACGCAGAATTGCACTGAACTCTTACACTTAAGCTCACAGAAAAATATAATGGAATATCTTTCAACATCTTTCAGTGCCTTAAGTGCTTATATGAATTCTTAGTTAAATTTATGCTTCTAATAACTTTGGAAGTTTTCAATTAATTATTTTATGTCTTTTCTCTCAAAACGCTCGTTATTTTTCCATCCAAAATGAGAAATATTGTACATTTTTTTAATATCCCATGTTACCGCAAGCAGTTCACAAGGAAACTTTTAATTTCACTTCAATGAAATGAAGGGAACGCTTAGAGCATCAAAACGTATATGTTAGTTCATTGGCACGGAGATGTACAACAAATTTTCTCATTAAAGAAATGGGAACAAACATGCAAATTATCGAATTATTTAATGAATTATTACTCATGATTATAACGAGGCCGATGTCCTGATC